TGAACAAAATGTGAACCTTCGGGCAAGTACATGATTTCGAGGTTGGGTACGTATTTCTTGATCCCACTCTTCAAGTATTCCGCCATACCGGGGAAGCTGAAAAAGAAATCTTTTTCGCCTGTGATAAAGAGTGCTGGAGCTTTAACTATGGGTGCATTCGGGTCATGGTTCGGCGGTTCAACTCTCTCCAATAACGACCTACAACGGGTTAACAAATTTGATGAAAACATCGAACCAAAGATGCAAAAAGAGATAAAAGAACGTCTCCAGCTTGCTATCAGGTTAGTTCTGAAATATTAAAAGCCATCCTTTGACGAGAAACAATAACCCTTGAAATACTTGGGACTAACTTTTCAACTTCAAACTCTATCCCTCGACATGAAAATGGAAATGTTATAAGGTTGAGATAATTCAGAAGTTTAACCTTTTGGAATTTTGGAACGAAATTTCCATGAAAGTTGTTGTAAAGAAATATGCATTACATTGTAATTTGTCAGGTTCAATAATTTACCTGTAAGGAACTTGGAGGGCGGTTAGAAATCCAGACTTCCCATACGAAGCAGCATAGGTCTCAAGATCTTCCTCCGTGAACCATGAGGGTAGGGGAGCCGATTGCTCCACCAAATCCATTATCTCCTGGTCTTCACTAGCWATGGGCACTTCACTTCTAGAGAACAAAATGTAGATCTTTCTGACCACTGATTTAGCATCAAATCTGCCGAAATCAGATTCAGCTCTTCGAGGTTCCTATCAAATAATTTTTTTGTTATATTGATTGAATTTCATTGGAGATCTATAATCGCAAATTCAACGACAAAATCAATAATTAATTTGCATATACTTATAGTGATTAAGGTATTAATTCCTCACCAAAAACGAGTACAAAGTAGAGGATGCGCATTTAGAATTGAAACGACATGTTATAAAGGTGCATATGCTAGGAGGAGCAGGGTGAGGAAGGGTTTGTATAGTACCTGCCATCTTCGCATGTAGAATCCTTCAGGGAGGGTTTGAAGTTGTTGCAAAGCCTCAGGGGGCATGTATGGAATGCCAAGTGTTATGATTCCTGCAATTTTGTTGGGGAAGAAAAGGGAAAATATGTAGCCAACCATTGCTCCAAAATCTTTAGCAATCACGAACACCTTAGATATGGCGAGAGAATCTAGGATGG